CTCTATCTTACCCGAGGTCGAGTTCGAACCTTAGCACGAATTATTTTATCCTACACCGAGGTCGAGTTTGAACCTTAGTATGAATCGCTCTATCTTACCCGAGGTCGAGTTCGAACCTTAGTATGAATCACTCTATCTTACCTGAGGTCGAGTCCGAACCTTAGTACGAATTGCTTCATCTTACGCCGAGGTCGAGTTCGAACCTTAGTATGAATTGTTTTGTCTTAAGCCAAGGTCGAGTTCGAACCTTAGTGCGAATTATCCTATCCTATGTTGAGGTCGAATTCGAACCCTGGTGCAAATCACTTTAAACTAAGCCGAAGTTTAAACGTGTTTTCAAACCGCAAAAACGGGCTAAAGCTAAGCCTAAAACCAAATTCGGATTCGAGCGCAAAAACAAAATGTAAAAATAAAACCATCGAGAGCGCAAGATGAATACTCAGGAAAATAGTATTTACACAACAGGTTTATAGGTTCAAAACATGAATCTAAAAAAGCAAATAAGCAAAATAAGCCAAATTATTACAAAATCAGCCTAGCTGGAGGCATTGTCGCTCGAGCTGTCCGGGAGGTCGTCTTCCTTCACCAGCCTCCCAAAGCGCACCTCTTTCTCCACATGCATAGCAAAGAGGTCGACTCCAAGTGTAAGCAACCTCGCCTGACGAGCTGCCTTGATGAAGCCTTTCTTATGCTCGAACACGACAGCTCGCTCGGTCTCGACAAGCTTCCTCTCCAGCTTCGCCTTAGCATCAACCATCTGATCAAGGTCCGCCTTCAGAGCCGCGACCTCCTCTTCCTTGTCACTAAGAAGCACCTCGTCACAGAGATTCTTCTCAGTAGCTTGCCCCTCCAGCGTCGAGACCTCATCCTCAAGGGAACGCACTCTACCCCGAGAGAAGGTGGAAAGCTCCTGAAGCTCGCCAACCTGAGCAGCATAGACCTCGTTAGCCTTCAAGGCGATCTCCAATGATTTCTGGACCCTTGCGAGATCTCTCCTCGTGGCTTGAAGCTCGGCCTCGTTCTGCCTCTTAGCCTCGCCCAGGGCGGCCCCCAACGCTTGATTCTCCTCCTCTAGAGGCTGGACTCGGCCCTTCATCTTCTCAAGGTCCCCCTACTACTTGGACCACCTGTGTTTCCAGTGGTCCACAATAACCATCGCCCTCTGCATAAAGACCTCAGCAGAGTCAAGGCCCTCCACTATCTGGACCTTCTCGATCATAGCCTGATCAGCCGAGCGTAGTGAACCCTTGGGGTAGAAGGTCTCAACGGTCACCCCCAAACTCCACAATGAGTCTATATCCGATGAGGCCCTCACATGATCCAACCATGTCAAAGGGCGATCCTTGTCGAAGCGTTGAGCAATGTATTTACCCTTAGGGGCCTCCTTCGGTAGACGAGACGGTGGCGCCGAGGCTGCAGGGGTAGGCGTTGGGACCTCGGAGCTCGGCCCCTCTCTGCGAACCTCGGTGGGAGTCGGGGCAGAGGCCGCCTGCGCAACAGCGACAAAATTCACCCCTGGCGCCTCCAAGCTCGGTGCCACCCGGACCCTGGTAGCATTTGGCTCAGGCCTCGCCTACAAAAGACAAAAATGTTCAACTAAGTCACAAAACAAGAAGACAGGCAGTATAGAAGTAAAACCACAAGGAAAGGCACAAACCTCGGCGGCATGGGCAACCTCCTCAGAGGCCACTTGGGAAACTCCCTCAGGTGGAGGACTCCCAGTGAGGTCGACTGCACCGGTGTCAGCAGCCTTCGAAGTCACCTCCTCCGCATCTCGAGGGGCAGAGGTCCCCCCAACCTCTTTCTCCCCTTTCTTTCTTTTTCTGCGGGTCTCCAAGGGGGCAATCTCCTCCTCTTGAGGCTCAGGGACCTCGATCTCAACAATCTTATAGGGAGACTTCAACTCGCGCTACTTGCTCCTTCCCATTATGCCTACAAGAACAAAAGCCAAATGCATCAATGCATCAGTGAAAGAAAATTTAACAAATCCTAACAACTGAGGAGGACAAGATATTCACTCTCTAGACCCCTCTCCTTGTACGCCGAGTTAGCAAGCGACAAAACGAGCTTGCAATCTAAGGGAAGAGGAAGCGCTTCTAGGTCTTTAATGGCAGCAACATCCGAGGTCGACAATTCAAGGTTGGCCAACCCGTTAAACCTGACCGGAGCCTACTGCCAGTAGAGGGGGAACCTCGACAATCTGCCGAAATGGAACACCTCATCTTCCAGTGGGTCGACCTCCTTGGGCAGAACCCGAAAGAACTCTTGTTTGAAATTCTTGTAAGACTGGGAGTAAAGAGAAAACAACCTCCCAGCCTTACTCCCATTCAAAGACACCCAACCATAGGGAGGTACGCCCAGCTTCAGTTGGTAAAAGTGAAGAAAAATAGGAAGGGACAACCCTATCCCTAGGGTCGAGCACAGGACCTTAAAAGCCCTAAAAAAACCCCAACTATTGGGGTGCAACTGGCAAGGAGCCGAGTTGACAAAATTCAAAAAATCGCACTCAAATTAGGTAAAGGGAAGACATACGCCTAAATCCCTAAAGAAACACTGGTACATGTAAAAGAAGGGAGGGTTAGAGGTACCCCCATATATACACGCTCACCGGGCTGACAAGGTTCAAGCCGGATGAGCTTAGAAATGGATGATTCACAGATCCTATGCGACTTCCACATCGCATTGATCTCCAGGAATGACTTGAAGACGCTCTGGAACTCTCCGGCGTCACCCCTGACCCATTCGTAGCCAGAGATGACGGGGAAGGGTTCCCTAGGCTGGTTTCCCCTCTTTTTCTTTTCGACGGTGATCGTCTCGGCGGCCACTGCCTTGCCGCGCGCCCTGCCTTTACCCTTGGCCGGCGCAGAAGATGCGACACCACTCTCCCCAGCCATCAAGAAGATGAAAAGATTCGAAGAAGAAGAAGAAGACAGAGAAATCGAAGTACCTGGTACTTCCTTGACAAACGAGAGAACACTAACGAGAGATGGGGACTGGATTGCTGGAAATGGCGATGGAGAAGAACGAAGACAAGAAAAATGAAGACGGAGAGTGAAGAAGCGTCGAATGCAAGCCAGAGGAAAAAGAGTAAAGAGAAGGGGGAAGGGCGCGAGAGAGAGAGAGAAAAGGGGTTTTCCCAAAATTCAAACCGGACGCGACACATAGAGAGAGAAAGAAAAAACTGACGACACATTAATGGGACCCCATTATGATGGGCACATCCATCATTGCATAACCGTCACTTCCCATTAACACGCGTCCCACGCGTTATGGGAACTAGGTGACGGTTATGACACATGGCATCATGACAGACAGGCGTACGCGAAGGGTCACGGCCCCTTGTTGAGCTCGGTCTTAACTCCTCAACCCGCGGTCTTCGGAGCTCGGGGGGCTAGTGTACTATCCGTACCGCTATGCCGAGCTCGAGCTCGGCATCACAGCACAGAGTGACCTCGGACACGCGCCGCGCGACATCGACCAAGACAAGGCTCACCATCTAAACAGATTATAACCGATCTCAGGCCCAAGGCCCAGGAAAACCCTAATTCACACTAAATTACGTGCATTACTTATACGAGACCCATACATCCACAAACACTAACTTTAGCATCGGAATCTCTTTTGCAGGTACCACCCCCACCTTGGAACAGCAACCGTACCCAGCGAAGGAAGCTCACCGATCTTGCCCAGCAAATCGTCCCTACAACTGATCTCCGATAAGAACACCAACTAATATTATATTTGGTTAAAAAACCAATGTGAAAATGATTAATACTTTCATGTAAAACTAAATAAACTAAAAGGTGATTTACCCTATTTTGTATTATTTGATTAGTAACTGAAAAAGGTTCATAACTTGCGAGGGAAAAAAAACTGAAATGTTCATAAATTACCTACTAGATGAAGGATTGGGAAAAAGGCCAAGTTAATAAATAGTTTGGGTTAGTCATTCTCCTTTGAAGTCCAAGGCACTCGGGCTCACCCCCTGTGAGTGGCATGTGGTTAATATTGGAAGTTGAAAATTGGGAAAAGTTTTATTAAACTTTTTTTTAAATATATTATCTCTCATTAATTTAAATTTGTTGGAAGATATAAAATTTGATAGATCTCACATTTTATTTAATGATCTTTTATTAATTTTGTAATTTTTAATAATTTTTAACTAATAAAAAATTAAAAGTGAGTCTGTCAATAGGAGTGTTAGATAGTATGTTGCTAATACTCCTCCTTATATATATGTTTTGAATAGATACTATTCATTTTCTTTTTTTCCTTTTTAGTTCCATATTTCATAGCTATATATTTAGATTGTGAAATGAAAGATATATACTTCCATTGTATTGTTTTTCCTGCAAAATTGACAAGCCAACAACATTCTTGTGTTGTGTGTCTATAGTTGGCCAAAAGTAGTAATTTCTCCAAGACCTAGATACAAAAGAGTGTAGATAACATTGTAAATTATGGATAAGTAATCATGAATTAACTAAAGATAAAATGTAACAAATAATACCAAACTTTTAACCTAAGATATCTCTACCTGTGCGTGTACTACGAATTTATCATTGTTTAATCACAAAATATAAATGTTACAAAAAATTTATAAGGAAAATTTCATCAATTAATTAATATTTTAGTGACTAATCTTGATAGATATTTTTCCATATGAGATTTTTTTTACCTTTTGTTTTGTTCGGGGTTAAATGTTTATAGTGTTTGTAAAGGTAAGAAAAAGAGGGTTCTCCAAAAAAAAAAAAAAACCCTGACAAGTGGTTTAATAGTATAATAATAATAGAGTGAATCACCTATACACTGCCAGTGTAAAGTTTTTTACACTGACAATTAATCAGAGCCGTTAATAGTACTTTTTTCATTTTAATTTAATTAAATGAGCAGATGAAAAGACACTATTACGGTTCTGATTGACTGCTATTGTAAAAAAAATTTACACTGACAGTGTATAAGAGATTAACTCATAATAATAATAAGCATACATTTTGTAGAATGTTTTTCTTAAAGAAAGAAGAGGATTTGTCCGCATAGCGTTGGAGATGGGCCTTCCCCTTGTTCCTGTTTTCTGCTTCGGCCAGGTATTTCTTGTTCAAACCGCTCTCTCTAAAAACATATAATTTTAGTATGAAATCACTAATTTTTAGTATCTAAAATAAGGTAACTAAAGAACGTTATTTTAGAGATTTAGAAAAATATATAGCGGAATGAAATGTTGGTGACATGATATGACAAATTCCAATAAGTGTGACCAAAAATGATAACTTGACATTTTATTAAGGTGTCATATGATATTATTTCTGAATTTTTTTTTTATAAAAAACAAGTGATAATGTATTTTACCTTATCACTTATTTGTTATTAAGCTAAAAACCTATTTTGGTCCCTTATAATAATTGTTTGTTTCAATTTAGTTTCACTTTTTATTTTTGGTCTTAATTTGGTCCCTAATAAATTAATTGGTTGCAATGTCGGACTTCCATCCAAATTATTTAGACGGAGTTAATTGTTGGTCACGTGGATGCCACGTGGAAGCTACGTAGATGCCACGTGGAAGCTACATAGATGCCACGTGGATATCAAAATTTGTCATGCATCTGGAACCAGAATGACCCGTTCTGAAACTGGAACGGCCCATTCCGGTTGCATTCATGGTGTGTAAATTTTGCATCTAGAACGACCCGTTCCGGATGCATTATTTAACACCAAGGCGTGCAGTAGAATGAACTGTTCTGAAACCAGAACGGGCCGTTCTGGCTTCCAAAACGGGCCGTTCTGAATTCAGAACGGGCTGTTCCAGAATGCCAGCCAACATAGTGCACCAATGTAGTTCAAAAATCGAAAGCAAACCATTTACACATACACAATTTTTTTATCTAAAAAATAATATATTTTAAAAAATAAAATTATATTCTAATATATATATATATTTAAATTATCGTATGTATAAAATATAAATTTCGAGGAGTTATTCATTTATCTGATATTTGTCAAACTTTTGTACTTTCTATATATCACATATTAAAAACATCTTTATATGATAAATAAATTAAACTTAATTTTTATAAGATTTAACATATTTATTTATACGTTTTTATTAGTGTTAAATTATTATTAAGTAGGTTTTTAAGATTGTTACGTAACCAAACATTTTAAAAAATGTCTATGACAGATAAATATATAATATTTATAACATGTATTTTTAACAAAATAAATTAGGTTTAAATATGTTAAATTATAATATAACATAATCTGACCTAGTTTATTTTCATCCTTAATCATAATTGTAGATATAAAAACTTGTAAAAAATAACTATAATTGATATTTATATTTTTAAAAATTATATATAAAATTTTTAATATTACAAATATATGAATAAGTAGTGTCCTCACGATCTAAAATTTCTGGATATAACCATCAACCTTATGTGCGACATTCCGGAAACAGAATGGCTCGTTCTGGTTCCAGATGCATGACAAAAATTTGACATCCACGTGGCATCTACGTAGCTTCCACGTGGCCAACACTTAACTCTGTCTAAATAGTTTAGACGGAAGTCCGACATTGCAACCAATTAATTTATTAGAGACCAAATTGAGGCAAAAAATAAAAGTGAGATTAAATTGAAATAAACAATTATTATAAGGGACTAAAATAAGTTTTTAGCCTTGTTATTAAAATGACCCAAGGGAAGGGTAAATATAAAAATAATGATTTTAACAATTTTAGGAATGGAAGTTAAAGAAGCATTTTTAAAAAAACAAAAATAAAAATCCACTTATTTTACTAGAGATTAAATATGTTTTTATATCTTGCTTATTATTATTTTTATACAAAAGGATTTTAACTCATTACATTACTAATAACATGTATAAAAAATACAATAGGGTATATAATAAAATATAGTAGGACTAGCAAGGAAAAATAGTTATTCTTGAAATAGAATTAACCCTACATTAGCTTTTCCTAACAAACTCAACTCGAAAGTTAGTTAATTATTGTTCTTCATTTTCTTCACCCATACATATATACAAATTCATGTTGTCCCCATTTTTGTGCAATCTTTGTAGTCAAACACCTATAAGTGGTGGAAAGCTCGAGGGAAGCTAATTCAAAATCTTGCGAGGATTATGAAGATCATGCCATTGTTTTCATGGGGAGTGTATGGGTGCGTGTCTTTCTCTTTTTCATGTCAATTGGCTTTCTGTCCCTATTGTAGTCACTAGCAAGGGATTTTTGTTGATGAATTAAGGAATCAGCTATTTTTCTTTCAATATAAAAGATATTCATATACTCATTTAATAATTGCTTTTTTTTTTTTTTGAATCATTTACTATTGCGGTGTATGAAGCTTAAACCAATTATTACTAGTTGTCAAATATAACTTTATTAATAACATAGGTTGATCAACTCTTGTCTTCAGATCTCTTATACCATTCAAAGTTCCTTTGTATGTCGTGGTGGGTAGACGAGGGACGGAGCCAGGATTTCAATACTGGGAGGCCGAGAATAGTGTTTCTTGCTTTCTTGCTTCCTTTCGTCTCCCTTCTCCTTTGTTCTTCCGATGTCGTTTCCGGTAACCCCTTTCTTGTTAGGGTTATTTTCTGAGGAGGAGTACCAGGTATTTCCTTTTTATTTGTTTCTTTTCTCCTTTTCTCGGATCCTTTCTGGGTGTTCCTCTCTCTTTTTTCTTTTTAATGGCTGGTGG